TCTGCTAGTTGACGGTCCTCCACAGCAGGGGGGAGGGTTTTCTGTAGCCAGTGATGCTTTTCAGACTCCCCCACACAGACGAGGGGTCATTGGCTGAAACCTGAGCTTTCAGCTTTTCAGAGTAGCTCCTCTTTGCTGCTCTGTCCCCACACCTGTAAGCCTCCTCTTTGGCACAACGAAGCTGCTTGAGTCTTGCTGTAAACCAGGGCTTGTTGTTGTTGTATGTGCAGAAGGTCTTTTTGGGCATTTGGGCACACAGACATCCTCACAGAAACTGATATAAGATGTCACAGTGTCAGTGAGTTCATCCAGGTCTGTAGCTACAGTCTCAAATACACTCCAGTCTGTGCAGTCAAAGCAGGCCTGTAGCTCTGACTTAGCCTCCTCAGTCCAGCTCTTCACTGTTTTGACCACAGGCTTTGTAGCTTTAAGTTTCTGCCTGTAGGTTGGAATAAGATAGACCATACAGTGATCAGAGAGTCCGAGGGCTGCGCGGGGGACAGAGTGATAGGCATCTTTTATTGTTGTGTAGCAGTGGTCCAATGTGACTTTGTCCCTGGTGGGACAGGTGACGTGCTGTCTGTATTTTGGCAGTTCGTGGGTAAGATTTGCTCTGTTAAAGTCCCCTAGAACAATGAGTGGAGAGTCAGGATGTTCTAGCTCCACACTAGTTATCAGTTCTATTAGGAGCCATAGTGCGCTACCGTTGGCCTGTGGTGTTATGTACACTCCCATTAGAATGAAACAGTTAAATTCACGGGGAGAGTAAAAAGGTTTGCTGTTGATAACAAGAGTCTCTAGGTCTGTGTTACATGTTCTCTGTAGCACTGTGACATCTGTGCACCAACCTTCATTTATGTAGAAGCAGATTCCATCTCCTCTCGTTTTCCCGGACAGCTCCTTTACACGATCTGCTCTGAACACCTGGAAGCTCAGTACTTGTATCGTGCTGTCTGACAATGTGTTGCTATGTGATGTTAGTGCAGTAGGTAATGCCTCACATGCTCATCAGGAACATTTATTGCAGCAGGAAAAGCACAGGTGTGATCAACAACATCATCAGTCACCGGTGTCCCCAATAAGCAGTGTACCTAATAACTGCACACCAGGTCTGGTACTGCAACCTTTAATTAATGCATATATGTACAGTTGTGTGTTTCAAACAACAACAATGAAATGTCCGCAAAGAAAGATCAGTGCAGGCGCCTGTTCCAAGCAGCACATTTACACAGTTGTCTGCATGAGGAGTAAGTGTTTTTACAACAGTCAGTGTTTCAGATTTGAGGAATGTTACACAGCAGTGTTATTTCTGAGATTTTTGTGCTGATACCAGTGAATGTGGAGGAAGGGTAGGGAAACTGAGAAGGAGATAAGGGACTGAGGAACTGAGGGTTTGACAGTGTTTTTGGAGGGTGGGTGGGTGCTGCTGTTTACTTATGGGATTATCATATGGGGATTCGAGGATGGGGATTTGTCAGAATGGCCAGAGCCAAGCCAGGAAATGTGTCTGCTGAGCAACTCGGCATCACGCACATGGATGGGTTATGCAGTTTAATTATAACCCATTAATGCATTGAAATTATTTGGTGAAATAATTATTTCAATTTAAAATAAAAATTGTAAATGGGTGCAACTAATTTGCATGTTGTTTCAAGATTATAACTCAGTTCAAGACAGGAAAGGTTGAGTTATTAACTGACAAACTAATTACTTACACCCCAGGCTCTGTGCTGGGAGACTCCAGAGGCAGGTGTTCCTGCTCACAGTGTTGCAACAAGACACAAAATGTGATTCACTGATATCACAAACACTCATGGTTCATGGAGAGTGAAAGACCAGTCACCTGCAACACAACAGATGAGGGCCTAATAATTGTCTCACATTCATTTACACAATATCACAGTTTGTCTTTTGTTTCCCCTCCTTTCTGTGTCTCCCTCTCATCCACGTTCATGCACACATGGCCGTTTGAATCATACAAGCCTGTGACGCAAACAGGACTAGGTTGTTCACACTCTGGTGAGAGATACAGGTCCTGCTGCTTGTCCTGGTTTAACAGAGTATGGAGTTTGAAGAGTCATTATTACACACACACACACACACACACACATTGTGTGATTCTCACTGGTGTTCTTTCCTATTGCCAATAGGTCCTGATGACTGCAAACCAGAGGTCTCAGGGCCAAAACAATTCAAGCATCAGACACACACAAAACAGTATCCTGTGATAGAATCACTATCAGCACCTGACACCTCGAAAACAGGAAAAACATTTCAGCGGGGACACAGATGTGTTGGAGTGTTTAGGGGAGGGGCATGAGCACAGCTTTATAACCCCTCTTGGCAGAGATCTCAACTTCACTCTACTGAGAAAGGAGAGGGGCTGTCTCTGCCATGTCGTACTATGAGGTAAGGTTCAGCTTGTCAGGCACGCTAGTTGCTGATACAAACTCATCCATCTGTGTTTACATTTAGGAGGCCTTTTTCCTGCACTAATCATCACTATCCACCTTTCTGTCTCCAGCATATCGTCCTGGACTATGACTTGAATGACACAGGTTCAGGTTCTGGTTCTGGTGAGGTAGGGGAGGATCTGGAGGAGCCCTGTCAGGTGGAGCATGTGATGACCACTGAGATTCAGCGGGTCTTCTTGCCAGTGGTCTATACTCTCATCTTCATCCTTGGCATCACTGGAAACAGCCTGGTGGTCATAGTGCTGGGCTGCCAGCGCAGGTGAGCGATGGGAGGAGGGCAGATGGTTGGTGAGCTTTGACTTCAGCAAATTTCTTGAGAAGTTAGAAATGTCCATAAACATGTAAGAGTTTTCCTCTTGTGTTTATCTACAGGTCAAAATGCAGCCTCACAGATTGGTATCGCCTCCATCTCTCAGCTGCTGATCTCCTCTTTGTTCTGGCGCTGCCCTTCTGGGCCGTGGAGGCAGCCATGTCTGACTGGCGCTTTGGGGAGGCCACCTGCATTGGCGTGCATGTGATCTATACGGTCAACCTGTACGGCAGCGTACTCATCCTGGCATTCATCAGCCTGGACCGCTACCTGGCAGTAGTCCGAGCCACAGATACCAACACCAGTGGACTGAGGCAGCTGCTGGCACACAGGCTGGTGTATGTAGGTGAGTGTGAAAGACTGATAAACCTTATCTCACTGAGTGCTATAACTCCTTTCCTCCCCTCTCATCTTCTCTCTACATTACTTCTCACTCCCATAGTCCCTCACGATTTCATGTCCCTTTGTCCTTCAGGTGCCTGGTTGCCTGCTGGCCTGCTGGCAGTGCCCGACTTGATTTTTGCCAGGACTCAGGAAGGGGGAGAGGGAGCCACTCTGTGCCAGAGATTCTACCCAGCACACAGCGCTCCTCTCTGGGTTGCCGTCTTCCACCTCCAGCTGGTCCTGGTGGGTCTGGTCATCCCCGGCCTGGTCCTGCTGGTGTGTTACTGCGTCATCGTCACCAGGCTGACCCGGGGCCCACTGGGGGGCCAGAGGCAGAAGCGACGAGCAGTCAGGACCACCATTGCTTTGGTACTCTGCTTCTTTGTGTGCTGGCTGCCCTATGGTGCGTGCATCTCTGTAGATGCTCTGCTGCGTCTGGAGGTCCTGCCCCGCAGCTGCAGGCTGGAGGCTGTTCTCAGTATGTGGCTGGCAGTGGCTGAGCCCATGGCATTCACCCACTGCTGCCTGAACCCGCTGCTCTACGCCTTTCTGGGGGCAGGATTCAAGAGTTCAGCCCGAAGAGCCCTTACTCTGAGCCGTGCATCCAGTTTGAAGATTTTACCACGAAGGCGCGGAGGGGCCTCCACAACCACAGAGTCTGAGTCCTCCAGTTTACATTCCAGCTAGTGTTTTTTTCTGCTGTGTATATGTGTATATACTGTATATGTGTGTGTGAGGACATTTACACAGAGCAACTGAGCAGGAGTAGTCTGCTGGCCCATGACTTGCCTTCTGCCTCACTGTGGGTTTTCTCTTGTAAATACTGATTCAAGAATTGTTTTCAGTGTTGCTGTACTTGGTTTGTTTTGCTCATTTTTGCAATAAAATAAGTAAAGAAGCCTTATTTGTGAAAGTGGATTTTATTATGAACTGCATCTCCTGCTTCCTGAGTGAAACAGTGTTCATTCCTGGCTTGAGTTAACCACTCAGCCCTATCTGATGGCCCCCTCAGCAAGTCTCACACTCAGATAGACATCAATAAAACAAAATCACAGTAATAAGTTAGACTTTGATCAGCCAAGCTGTGTTTGAATTGGTAAAACAACATGCCTTGATTTTTGGAAATACTGTAGTTTTAATTCATGTTAGATGTGCTTGGTGGTGGGTGGGGGGGCAGAGTTGGTGTAAATTACAAATACAGATTCTTAAGGAAAAGTGTCAAAGCCAGTCAGTCGGTGGAAAATGTGCTTCTAGTCTTTTCTATCATCAGTTTGTCTCCATTTGTATTGATTCACAGTCACAGTCAAATGCCTGCCATCTGAATCCACTGATCCGGAGCATGGACACAGTAAAGTTCTTCCAGAGAACTGAAACTGCTTTTTAAAATGTGATGTGCGATAGCCAGGTGTATCTGAGTCACACGCGTGAGTGTGTGGGTGTGTGTATATGGATTTGTTTGTGTCAGTGTTTTTGGGATGCAGGTTAGACTAATGTTGATGTTGATGATATAAACAGCTTGCCTCTTTTACGTGACAGAGAAGAGAGCATGAAGGCATCAGGGGGTCCATTTTTGCAGTATTGTAATGCACACACAGTCATGCACACGCAAGTATTTCCCACATGCCTACGTCCACTTGGAAATGAGAGAAACAGAAGCTGGAAGTTTACTGTGTCCCATTTCCTGGAGCAGTGAGGAGGAGAATGAAGAGGAGCGTTGTGAGAGAAATGCAAAGGAAGAAAACAGTAAGTCAGTGTTACACGGGAGGGTGAAAGGAAGAAGACAGTAAGTCAGTGTTACACGGGAGGGTTGACTGTAACTGTACAGATCAATGTAACTGTATCCTAACATGGTCCTACTGGCTTTATACAGAAGAGAAAAGTTGTAGAAAAATATGTAAAAATTAAATGTAGCTGGTACCTGTTAATTTAAGTTTGCCCCCCCCCAATCCACACATACATTCACACACATTTAGCTTCTATTCATAGTGCATTCAAAACAGGAAAGACTTCCTGCAGCTCATTTTAGAAAAAACAAGCAGCTAAAACAATCAAACACCCGGGCAGCTCTGCACTCAGGGAACTGCAATAAACTAAATCAGTTTCACAATATGGAGACAATGTTGACATTCAAGGCTTTGACCCGGCTTCAGGAATAACCAGGTGTAAATAGTGATGTGTAAACATAGAGCAGATATATTATTAAATTGGTATTCAATTAAAAATCAGGTGTTGCTAGCTTTTATGAAGCCATGCTAGGAGCACACAGCACATTTTGGCTCCAGGGACAGCGGCTTGTCTGGCTGTTTGCTGGGTCAGGTCAAGGTCAGGCCAAAATGACACTTTCTCCTATACTTTGGTTTATGACCAATTATGTGCAAAGCTGACATTCTCATTGTCTGTACTTTGTGTTTAATGCTAACACGCTAAACTAAGATAGTGAACATGGAAGAATTAGACCTACTAAATATCCACAGATATATAAATATATATCTATACTAAACAGGAGCATGTTAATTCCATTCAATTTTTCAATTCAGTTTTATTTGTATAGCACCAAATCACAACAAAGGTCATCTCAGGACACTTTACAAAGTGTCTAGACCTTACTATCATTATTATTATTATCAAGGAAAAACCCAGCAGACCCCGCTTGAGCAGCACTTGGCGACAGCAGGGATGAAAAACTCCCTTTAACAGAAGAAACCTCTGACAGACCCCGGCTCTTGGTGGTGAGTTGATAGAGGAGGGAGAAAAGAAAAGAAACGCAACAAGACACAACAAACACAACAACAAACCATCAAACACTGGGCAGGTTGATGTGGCTGGTGACTGCTCATCAGAAACATAGAGGTCCAGAGCTGGGGATACCTGTAGAAAGGTACAGGGAGAGAGAGAGAGGACACACTACGGGAGAGAGGAGACACACAGTTAGTGATGTGTAATGGTGGCATATAGATACATAGAGAGAGGAGAGAGGAGAGGAGCTCAGGACTCCAGCAGTGTAGGCCTAGAGCAGCATAACTAAGGTAAGGCTCAGGGTCACCTGCATCATCTGCATAGCAGTGGAAATTTGTGCTGTTTTTCCTGATAATATTGCCTAAAGGGAGCATGTATGAAGTGAAGAGAGTTGGACCTAGCACAGCGCCCTGTGTTAGCATGCTGGTGTTAGCATTTAGTACAAAGCACTGTGCTTACAAACAGCCTCACAGAGCTGCTATGGCTATACACTATTTTTATGTGCATCTCCTATATCAGAGAGCTGTTAATAAAGGTTTTCAAATCTGTAACCAAGATGCATGCAACACAAGACAGACACAAATCGGGGTTTTAGCAAGTTGCAAATATCAGAGGAGAATTTTACAGCTCTTTTTACCCTAGCCTGTAGCATGTTTGTGCAGTACAGATGAGGTGCTTTAGTGCTGCTAATACATCTATTTGCATTACATGACAATGTTATATATAATATACAAAATATGCATTATTTAAAATGCTTTGGTGGTGTATGTGTGTTGGGGTTATGTGTGTTTGCCTACAGATGGTCAGGTTCCCTCCTCATATTCAGACAGACTAAGTTTCCTGCCACTGAACAATCGTGGGAACACCAGAGGTCAAGACAAAAGGAGAAATAAGAAGGGAAAAGGCGACTGGGCTGCATCCAAATGGCCTGCAACAACTTCCTGCTTTGTTCCTGGTGGATTAACACAATATGACAGGTGAAACCAATAGCATGCTGGCTGTGCTTCCTCTGATCTCAGCAGGTGGAGACGTGAGAATGATGTGTGAACAAAATAGAAACTAATGGAATAATAGGGCAGAGATCAGTGTTTGGCTTCACAGATGTTCCTTGGTGTTCTGGTGCGCAGCTTGGAGGCCCCCCTCAGCATGGGTGTCCTTTTGGTATTCCATATTTCTCCTGTGCTAAAATATATATGTAAGCAGACCTCCTGCCTTTGCTCTTGAACCGTTCTTAAAACTAGACTAGGCCACACCATGACTCAAGGGTTGCTTTTACCCAACATATATTAACATTATGTGCCTGGAAACAGATATAAGGTGTGTTTGTCAGCAATATACAGTAACTTCTTTAATGAAGCATCCATAACTAGTGTAACAGATGAGTGACTGATACACTTTATAATGTAGCTATAATCATATTTAATCATATATGAACAAGTATGTATAGTATGTATAATTTATTAATTGTTAAAGACATGGACAAAACATCACAAGTGTTTTAAAACGATTTACAAGTCTGATCAAAATTCAGGGAGACATGTACTTCAAGGCCCATGTACTAGATTCCTTCAGGGATTTACAGCTGTGTGTCATAACCTTCCTTCACAAGTAGCATTTGCTCAGTGGCTGGAGAGAGAGAAAAAAGCAATTCATAAACAAATACTACCTTCAGTTGTTGATACAGGATTAAATGTGCCAAAGAATAAGTGAGCATTCACATGGAAGCTCAGTATACAAGTTAAGCATTAGTTAGTCAGGTCCTGCAAGAGGACCAATAACACAATAGAACGTTGTTGTATTAACACACCTAAGCCTTCACCATTTTATTCCTAATTCATCTAACAAAGAAGAAATAGACCTACCAATAAGACCTCTACAACCAGCCTCCGCTGGGCAGATATTAGCTTTCAAGTCAGACCCCTCTACCTTGGTAGCCAGTTCTGTGGACTTGAGCTTTTTCCTCTCATAAGCTGTATCTACAGTGTCCTCCCAGGGAACCATAAGCACCACAAAATGCACAGTCCGCTGTGTATTTGACCACAACAAGATCTGGTCTTAGATTAGTGCTGACTGTCTCCTCAGGAACTATGAGCTGGTTCCCTACATCTACTTTCATTTGCCAATCCCCACCCTGCCTTTAGCTGGCCTGCTTCCTGCCTTTTTCACCCTCATGAACAAATACAATCCCCTCTTGTTTCTTCTTTTCCTCCAATGAGTTTATCTCTGCGTGCCTACTTTCAATAGCTGCTGCTAAATATTTCAACACTTGATTATGTCTCCGGGTGTATTGTCCTTGAGCCAGGCTTGTTTTACACCCTGAGAGGATGTGCCGAAGTGATGCTACACCCCAACACAAGGGACATGTCAGTATCCTCACCTATCCATCTATTCAGATTTTGTGGACACAGAAGCACATCATAAATTGCACCTAGAATTAATTTCCATGTCCCACATTTCCCTCCAACTACGTTTCTTCCTTTCTACATCTTCCCATCTCATCCACTGTCCCTGCTGATCCTGCTTTTGCACATCTTCCTGCCTCTTCCTGTCTCCTGATCTCCTTAATAACCACCTTCCTTCTGTCGGCTGCTGTGCTCGGGCCAAAAAGTCCATACTGTGCCTGCTCTATAATATCCCTATATTTAAGAACTGCCTGAGCTGACTTATTTACAAATATAATATGACCTCAATGAGTAAAAAAATACTTTATATGTCAAAATCAGATAAATGAAAAAGATGTTTAATATATTTACACTTGGGTTGTATTGTCATTGATCCAGTGTTATGAGTCGGCTGCTTCACAGGAATAACGGCGCCTGTGCCTATAGGTATAACTGAGTACTGTGTTGTACAAATGCCCTGATGGTAGCAGGCGGTTTGTTTTACTGTCCCCTGGCATTAAAACAACTGTGCTATGGTATTCTGTTTTGTTTCTTTGCTGTGATTAACAAACAGGGCAAAGAAACTACACTAAATGTTCACTGGTCCTTGTGTGTTACACAGTAAGTTACATTGAAAATTGTGCAATATTCTCACACATTTCTATCACAGCACCATCAGTGCA